AGCCATATATAGCACCGTGTGTCTGTCATCCCAGCACTGCTACAGCAAGATGGCAGGCAAAAACAAGAGACTTTCTCAGAAGCTCATGAGCCAACACCTAATATTGACCTCTGACCTCCATACTTAGGTTATGGCATGTGTATGACCTAACACATGGACATGTACTCTCACATACACAAAAATAAATGTTTTTTAAATATCTGAGAGATAATTAATCCTAATTAATTCTGCTTAGACTCTCTTCAAACTGGTATACTACCCAGGAGTTACTCATTTCTGTTATCCTTTCCCTTGGATACAGACAATTGCTAATTTCTCCTCCGGTTTTCTCACTTTGTATACATTTGTCAACTCTGTACAAACTGGGCTTTCAGAACAGATGGGACTCAACATTATGACAGGTAGCCATATGTCTGCCTTTCTTCCCCCAAGGAATGGTGTGCCCACAGCCCTGTCCCAGCCAGGCTCAGAGTCCTTCTACCTCTTAAATCTGACCTTAGCAATACTAAAATACTCAGTCTACTGTTCCAGAATCTTGAGTCCCTAGATTCTTCAGAGAGCCCCAGCCTTGTGTTCACCCTCACACAGTTGCAGAAAGCTGTATAGATCATTTTACTCTCATGTGTTTTATAGAGAAAGCTACCTTTAGCTAAAGGTACAAAGGAATTATCAATTGCGGTGCTAAAATTGTAGTTTTAAGTGTTATTAGCTGCCAGAATCCACAAAGAAGGAAGAATACAAGTGGGAGCAATTTTGTTTTCTTAGCTTCTAAAATGTAAAAAGGGGGAAGAGAAATTGCATCATATAGAGGAAAGATTGCATATGGTTTCATCGTTCTGTATTTAATTTGCTCATCTCTTTCTGCTGCTGCTGGGAACTAAGGGAAAATACTATATCCAAAACACCCGAGTTTGACAATTTAAAATTAAAATGTGTGGTTCTTTGTAGTCAGGAGAACCTCAGCTTTGGAGCTCTGCTTCCTCTTCCTTCAGGACTGAAAAAAAAAATAACAAAGACCAACAGTACATTGCTATAGATGACAGAGTTGGCATATCGATTATGCAAGTCTGCGTAGAAATCTTTGTTCCATGAGAGGTTGAAATAACATCTAGTTTCTTGATCTGTTTGAAGAATTTTGAAAATAGCTAAACCATAATATATAACAAATAACGTGTCTATCACCAGGAATTGGCAAAGATTTGTCGCATTTCCTTATATTTATTTATATTTATTTATTATGTGTAGGTGTTTTGACTGCAGGTATGACCATCCACAACATGCGTGTGGTGTCTGTTGAAGCTGGAAGATAATGTTAGATCCACAGACAGTTGTAAACTACCATATGGGTGCCGAGACTTGAACTTGGGTTCTCTGGAAGAGCAGGAAGTACTCTGAGTCATCTCAGCAGCCCTTTGGGCTTTCTAATATAAAAGAATATGCACTTAAAGTCAGAATTCCGTCATCATTCTTCCTAGGGCCCATTTGCCACCATTACTTGCCAAAGACTATCACGACTTTACAAGGGTTCTTCTGAGGTTGCTACTTTACCCATCAAAGTTCGTCTTGCTCATAGTGATGGTATGCCCAGGAATCAAGTCCTGGAAGACAGAGATGTTATTTCTACAGGAAAAATTTATCCCTGATGCTCAGTCTTTTTCCTCTTTAACTGGCCACTGAGGTAGGGGCAAGCTATTTATGCACACATCAAGGACAGGTGATGATCTTACAGCTCATGCAAGTTTTGTTTTCTGGTTCCCACGTGAGCTTCTCAAGGTCAAAATTCAGGTCAGTCTGTAAACTTCAAGAGAAACAGCTCCATGAAGAATAAGCCCTAAGGAGATTTCCAAAGGTTCTGAAGGATTGGATTGCACCAGGTTATATCATTGATTGCAAAGCAATTGCCGGCTGAAGTCAGGCAGATGACTTTAATTTGAGTTACAGTAAGCCACACTAGCTCTTCAGACCACTATGGGAGTAGACTCTTCACAGACGGACAGACATCTGTCTGAAAGTGAAAACACTGCAGTCTACATTTCCTTTTTCGATGTTATTGTTGTTCAGATTTTTTTTTAAGTTCAATTCTACAGAAAAGCTTAAACAATACTACACAAAAACCCTCATGGTTTAAATGTATTCAAATTTTTAACATTTGACACATCATACATGCTTATATAAATTCTTTCCTGAGCCACTTGAGTATATAAATTATGTGAAACAATAACTAGTTTCTTAGTGTTTTTTTTTCAGTATGTATCTCTTAAAAGTTATTATCAAAACTTTAAAGCATAACAATTTTATATTATTTGATTGCTTATCTTGAAATCTCTTCATCTGGGTCCAAATTATTTTATAATCCTTGTTTAATCCCTGTTTTATTTCAAATCAAGATCTAATAAATATTAAAAACTTGCTTTGATTATGTGTCATTAGCATACATTTTTGCTAATGCTTTAAACACACATTTGTTATTATTTGAAATTTTTATAGATATGTACAATTATTTTGATCATATCCACCCCTCATTCCACCCTCAGTTTTCCCCAGGACATTCCAGCACATTTCCTTCTCAACTTCACATGTTCATTTTATAATTAATTAATGTATTAATTTAAGCCACAGAGTCCAATTAGTGCTGTCCAAATGCACATTGGTGTTGTGTCATCAATTGGAGCATGGGGAATATACCAGTGGCTGTATTTCTTTTTTTTTTTTTCATTATTCTTTTTTTTATTAAATTATTAATATTTTCACATGTACTTTCCCTCTCCCTCTCCCTCCCGCCCCTCCCCATGTGTTCAGAGACAGAGCGAATCCCTTCAAGTGGGATGGGCTCTCGAAGTCCCTCCCACCCACCAGGACAAAACGCCAGTCCACCTCCAGAGGCCAGTGGCTGTATTTCTAAAGAAAGAGGATTCTTCCTTATGCAACAACGGTCAACTAACTGCCAATAGCTTCTCAACTGGAGCATGGGGCTTCATGAACTCCTCCTTCTACCTGCTGGAATTTTAACTGGTTGGATATCATGCAGGTCCTATGTAGATAATCACAGCTACTGCAATTTCAAGGGCATCATTTCACATCACTCTTCCCTCTCTCTGGATCTTTCTGTCCCCTCTCCTATGATGGTCCTGAAAGACCCCCGGAGGCTCAGGCCCCCAGGATCTTCGTCCAGAACTGCAACGACCCCAATCACCAGGTGGAGGCGGAAACTTGATGCAAACAGCACAAGGCTTCATTGCAGTTGTTTAACGAGCTAACTCCATGTTAGCTCGGGACTTTCATCCATCCACCATGGTTGATGGCTAGGAAAAACAGCAAGAAGCCACTGCATAAAGATCTTATAGGGCAGCATAAGGGAAGTGTCTAGGGGTATGCACAGGCTCAGGATTGGTGTGCCTCCAGGCTTGCCCTGTGTTGATTGGTCAACTGGTTGTTATGGCCCATAGGCCCTCCCCGGGTGATTGCTATGCTCTGCATGTCATTGCTGTGCACTTGTCTGTAAAGCACATCCAGAGCCGTAAAGCATAGCACCACCAGCTAACTTCTGATTGGTTCCTGGTCACACACAAGGCAGGCATCTGACCTCCTAGTGACCAAGGCAAGGTCAGGCAAGCCTGTTATGGCTGCCAAAATGGGTAGCTAGTCCCTTCATTCCCTGAGCCTTAGAGGAGGGTTTATATTGATGCTCCGTCTGTGGTTGAGCATTCACAGTAGCTTATTCTCACCACTTTGCACAGTAACACATCTTGGCATTAACCACTGCCCAACTGCAATAAGTCTATTCTCTGGCCAAGATTGGGAGCAGCACATAGCTATGACTATAACATAAATATTTAGATGGCCATAGCATAACATGACCATTTAGAAAAAAACACATCAATACTAGGTGTATTACTTCTTTAGTCATGGCTTTTGACCATGATTATAGTACAGTCATGAATTCCCTTCAGAGGAGTAGGCCTCAAGACCTATCAAGGGAATGGTTGGTTACCCCCACAGACAATCTTTTATTACTATTACACCAATGAGCATGTCTTGCCTGGAGGATTGGTATTAAAACATGTAGGGGCCAGCACTCCATGAGATCATTGATATATTTTCTTCTCAGCAGCCTACCTAGCAAGCACCTTTCAGAAGTGTGAAAGCTGACCAACAGGGAGAGTTTCCTGGACAGTTTAATTTTTATATCTCTGGGTCCTGAAACAAGAGTGGTGTCTTCAGCAATAGGATCTTACCATCTAGTTGAGGTGGGCAGCCAAGAGCCATGGTAATAGCCTGTACTGTTCTTGGGCCTCTCTGAACAATAACTCATAGGGAGGTAACTCATAAAGTCCAATGACTACTATTCTTAAGACACAGACAAATGAAGAACCATACCAATGACAATGTCTAATGAAACCAAGACAAAGATATTACCATGTGATGTAGCAAGTACTCTAATGGGGGAAAAAGAGTCTTGAGTATGTGGGTGAAATATGAGCTGAGCTTAAATACAGATGTCAGGCAACCCATGTGAAGACCAGAATGAGGCAGGTATGGACATAAGGAAAGAGGGATATCATGTGTGACTATAGATGTGTTCCAAATTAGTGAAAGAAAGCCTCACTTGTCTTTGAGGGCTTGGAATACAGTTCAGTGCTAAAGTGCTTGCCTAGCATGAGTAAAGCCATAAGGTCAATAAAAAGGGGGGGAGAAGGAGTTGGGTTACTTTTATCCTGAGGGTTGGAATGCCAATGAAATGCTTTAAGCATTTATCACAGGAATATATGATTCATTTATCACAGGAATATCTTGATGACAGTCCTATGGGGAAGGATCCCATTTGAAGAACAGTTCTATAAGAAGTTAAGGCATTGTCAGACAGGAAGTGAGAGGGGCAGTGGGGGAGGGGAGTGCTAAATTCCAAAGATCTTTGGGAGGGGCTGGGCCAAGCTGATGGGAGGTGAGAATGTGAGTCAGAGAAAGGAGGCTAATGCAGATTGCCTATGTCACATGTCGTAAGAGAATGGTGACTGTTGGGACACTGAGAGAAAAACCTATCCAGACATGTTCACCTGATGAGAAAGTCAGGAATAAGAGCCTCAGCAGGGAAAGGGAGACATGAGGACCCATGAAGGACAAGAGGCTAACAGGGAACACGGTGAGCTGTGGGGGTGGAGAGGGGGCCAAACCAGACAGGGCCTCTAGGTGCATACTGCCAGGTATGGGAACTTGCTAACCAAATCAAAAGGGTGGAGCCAGCAGGAAGGGAAGGGAGCATTGTGGTGTTATTGAAAGCCATCCCTGTGACCACTGTGACCTTCAGGATCCCTTACCCCACTCAAAAAAAAAAAAAAAAAAAAAAAAAAAACTGGTCAAAACAATTCATCAAGAATGAAGAAAAATTGTTTCGCTTCTTGAATCTTCTATTTTAAACATTTTATCTTTTGTATTTCCTCATATTTCCAACCAAATGCTATAGTTATAAAGCAGTGCATGCTTTGTTGTGAAAAGATAAATTCTAGATAAAACAAATTAAAGTTCAAGGGGGGGAATCATAAGTCAGATATTAATCCTCCCATGTAGCCCCCCTCTCATTCTCTTTCAGATTCATAGGTGTTCTTTTTTTCCATTGTTGCTACTTATCTATATTTCTAAATACATAAATACAATCTGCTCAGTCTGCATAATACTACTTATATGTATATATCTCAGGGTTGACCATTTGGTATTGGATAATCAATTTGTGTTTTCCCTGGGAAAGACTTTCTCCTGCTCTCAGCATTCCATAGTGACTTGTCGTTCTTTGTGTAGGGTGAGGTCTCATGAACTTTTTTCTGTCCATGTTGTTTTTTTTCTTTAAAGATTATATATATATATATATATATATATATATATAAAATATATGTGTGTGTGTATTAATTTATATAATTAATATATATATAATTTCACCTACCTGTGTTAGGACACCATGTGCAGTACCCATAGAAGCCAGAAGAGGGCAACAAGAGCCTCTGGAATGGAGCAACCATAGGCAAATTATGAACTACAATGTAGGCACTGAGAACTAAACCCAGGTCCTCAGGAAGAATAACCAATGCTCTTAACCACTGAGCCCTCTCTCCACCCCCCTCCCGACCTCTCAGTTTTAAGTCTTGTTCTCTGATGCAAATGTATTTCCAAGATCTTTAAAAGCTTTAAACTCCAAAGCTGCCCAGAAAGTTTCCCAGCTTTCTGGAGAAGCAAAATAAAGAACAGATGATAAAAATAATGCTGAAGTTAGAAGAAAAGGCAGAAGATGTTAGAGGAGAGCTACTGGTTTTTTGTTTGGGGTTTTGTTTTCACACATTACATAGGAGCCAATCGTGCATGGTGTGAGTTATGATGTTTCTCTTTATGCAGAAGTTTTGAGGTAAGGAAGAGGAAATGACCACAAAAGTCAAAGAAAATCAGCAGAACCCATGTCTGCTCTCCACTTCCACATAACCCACTTTCATCTTCATTACCAGTGAGTCTGGGCATCTTATAGCCAAACACAGCAGAGAGTAAGCACAGTGGAGGGATATGTTTCTTTGACAAACTATGATCTGAACACACTTGGCTCACAAGCTCTTGGCCAGCACGTAGACGTCGTGAGCTTTCACTGAGACATTCATTTGAACATCATCTGCTACACATTAATCTTGGCGGTGGAAGGGTGTGGCTCGGGCTGCCATACACTCGTCTTTTCAGAGCATTAGAGGGGAACGCAGTGCTATCAAACTACACTCAGATCCCTGGGACAGAGGAACCCATTGATCTTGGGCCAGGTGATTGCATTCTCAAATACATCAGTAAAGGCTTTCAATGCACACACAGTGGAACTAGTGTGGTCACCAGCACCATATCACCACACTTGAAATATGACTCCCTTGGCCATTGGTTTCCAGGTTGGTTAACCTATTTGAAGACTCAGGATATCAACTAAATTTTTTAATTGAGTAGAAATGTTATCATTTCTAAAAATTAAACAGCAATAATTTGCATGAAATAGCAATAATAAGTTCTACTTCTAATGTGGAAACAGAGAAACAAGCATATGGACAGGTAACGGGAGTGAACAGTAATCACTTTCCTGGTCAGATGGAATGGGCACAAGTTAGAGGTGAAATTTAGCTGGGCAATAAAGAGGGATACTGATATCCTAAACAGGCATTTGATCCTGGGAGTGATAATGCTGGGAGTAAAAAGGTTCCCCCACTTCCACTACACACCCTCCCAACTTACTATCTCTTCTATACCAACTTGTGGTCTATAATACAGCAGCACAGGATCATCATGGCTCAAGTTTCCTACCCCAGAGATACAGACAGTCATCACTTGCTTAAAACCACTCCTGTGGGAGTGGGAACCCTGAACATTTAGTAACATGTTCAGAAGTACTTAGGTGTCACCTTGGATTGGGTGGCAGATGGGAGGTCTGATGTTGACTTGAGAAAACTTTGAGTGATTTTATTTTTATCTAATTGCTCACATTTCCCTGTGGCTTATCAAAGATTTCACTGGGAAGTAACCACAAAAATAATGAAAACCGTATATAGTATATCAGTATCTTTCTAAAATTATTTTGTGTATGGTGTGTGTTTGACATGTATGTATGTCACAGGTGAGCACATTCCCTGGCATGCGTGAGGACACCTCTGGTGTTGGGTGTCACCTTTCATCTTGCTTGAAATGTGGTCTCTTTTCCATTCAGCACTGGGTACACCAGGCTTGCAGGACTACAAGCTTCCTAGCTTGCCATAGGAATGTTAGGATTGCAGATACGTGCCTTCACACCTGGCTTCACACACACACACTCAGAATCTCTGAGTTCTGAGGATTTCAATTCAACTTCTCATGATTGTATGGCAAATGCTTGACCCACCAAGGGTTTTCCCAGCCCACCAGTTTCCTTTTAAGACTTAATACAAGTAATCCTTTTCAACTCTACTTTCAGATATGACTATCTCAAGAAGGATTATAGGTAACAAAAACCATGCTCTTTGTGGTGTGTCGTCTTTCTTGATGGAGGAAGAAATGCTAGGGCTACGTGTTATCCTGAAAGACTCACCATGGAGATATTCTCCCTTTTCCTTATTGACTATGCAAACAAAAACCATTCTCAGACTGCGACAACCCAGGAGGTGTTAAAACACCACCCTGATTGGATGTATTGTGAAGGTAAAGATCCCCAATGGAGTCTATAGAGGGGCATCAGTCCTATGAGTGTAGCTCTCAGTTTCCTTAGAAAGAACAAGAAGAGGATCCTCTTTGACAACTGAGGGGGAGCACAGAGGGAAGGGCTAATTTTAACTTTTTTGTTTGTTCATTTTACAGTTCTTTTCAAACTGTAAGAGTTTCTTGTTTTGAGAGATGTTGGAAATAGGCCGCTGGCCAGAGAGGGTTATTGGGCTGTAGTTCACTAACTCATTAGGGGCAGATCTTCCTGGGAGGACAGTGGGCATCTCTAGCATGACCTCTACAAGGTCATAAGCCATGAAGAGAAACAGCCACTCTTGTTCACTTTGCAGGGCTCGGGATAGTACTTGATTTCACATTTGTTTTTAACATTACAAATGAAGAAAGAAATTAAGTGAAATTTGTAAAATCCTAAGGTAGTTTCTTATCACAGATTATCATCTAGGACCTTGTTTCCCCCTGAGTTTGAAGTCTCACAAGAACATTAGCAGTGAGCCCATGGAACACTCCAGCACACTTGCCACCTACAAGCACTCCATTTCATCTCTAGACCACAGCCAGAGCTAGGCCCCAAGTATTGCACACATTGGCTGCGGGGGGACTTTCCCAACCAAGAGTACAACTTGTCCTTTACTGCAAGGTGACAGGTCCGGGTATACAAATGGATCTTGGAACCAAAATCCCTATAAGTCTTGTCCTCATCTACGGTTATGGCTGACAGAACTTCGGTTTCACTCTTTTGAATATCACATGCTTGGTGGAAATGTCAGCAGAAGTATATGGGCTGAATAGACATTTTTCAGTTCCCATCTTTTCCCCCTTCTTGCTCAATATCCTGAGGACATGATTGAACTTTTCTCTGTATGTGTCAGCCTGGTACAGAGAGGAAGGAGCAGCTCATTCAACCATTCCCCTATACACAGCCCTGCCAGGCATCAGAATATGCCGCTAGTTCTTGGAGTTTGCATGCAAGACAGACACAGCAGCTAAAAGCAAGGGGATCCAAGGCCTGGCCCCCAGGAAAACCCACTAAATGAGCCTATCCACCTTCCTACCTTCTTCTGCAGCAACCAGGTAACAAGTATTCCCAGGTCTCATCACTGATATGAGTATCAGTGTGTGAATTTTTACAGCAGGGAATGATGCCACCTCCAAATTCTGGCAGGACAGATGGTGCTGGCTGAGTAAGTGAAAGAAAGGCATGTTCTGTTGGAAAACAGCAGAGCAGGTGGACATGAGATGTTAAACCTCAGCCTTCTCTTAGCCAGAGGGTGAAAAGCAGGTAGAAAACACAGCCAGGAACGTGTCTATCCCTGTGACTTGATGGCCTCTTGTGCCTTGCAAACCTCTAGTCTTGCAACAGAGCCAGAGGCACAACCCTATTGCCTGTAGAGCTGGGCACCAATGACTTGCCCCATTCTCAATCTTAACAAATGTGGGTTTGTCCTGCTGATGGGGGCGGGGGGAACTACATTCAGTTTCTTTCAAACTCTAAGATATGGCAGGGCATGAAGTTTCTATGAGAGTCTCACACTGACAAAGGAAAAAGGCCATAGACAATGGCCCTCGTTCTCAAAGGAGGCCCTGGCAAACTGGATAGATAATGACTAACAGATACCAGTCAGCCAAGGAAGACATTGAGAATAGCTAGTAACCACAGATTTGGGTTGCAGGCTCTGGTTCTCTTTTGAAGAATGTGTTAGGTTTTTTGTTTTCTCCCCCTTTTACTAGAGTTATAGTAGAGTCATTAGAAGAATATGGACTTAGACTCTGCCTCCTATCTGCTGTGTAACTCTGAAAGAGCCATATAATGCCTGTAAGTCTTCTTCTGTAACAAATGGATGTAATGATTGTACTGGCCTTGTGGGTTTGTTGTGGGGATAAAGTTAATATTGAATACTAACATGTAACTTTAAATTATTGCCACTTGTTCGAAATATA